CAAATGGCAATTTGGCACACAGAGATGAAAACTTAGAGGAAAAAACAGCCTCTGCACCAAAATCATTAATAAGGTCTCACTGATTTCAACTACATAAATGAGACCCAGCATTAGGTGGGGTAGACTAGCAAGGCTGAATTATCAATTTTACCTAACATAGTTTTCACTTATTTTCTGGGCACTTGAATGACACCCCTGTTTTTGCAGAGCAAGCAGGTGGTTCATGGCCTGGCTAAGGAGACTTTCATGCCCCAGTCCCAGAGCCATGTCTCCTTGCTCTAAGAAGGATGCACTGCTTTGGCTGGAACCTGAAGTATGCCTGCATATCCACCAGTTCTGGCATCAGCACCTCCCAGCACCAGGGCTTATAAAATGCCATATATGCTCGTTGTCTTAATGACAATGTCAAGGAGACAGAAGATGAATCCTTCAAACACTTAGGAAAGAGCAGCCTTTAAAAAAAATGTTTTTAATGTGAAGATTTCATTAAAGAGGCACTTACATCCACACTTTGTGGAGCTCTAGCTTGGATCACTGAGTGTCAACACCACATCACCCCTAGACCTACATGGTGATGCAGAGGTAGACAAACCCACACAGAAGACCTGAAAAGCCTCTCTGTCCAACAGTTTTGTTCCCAGGTAGGCCTGCAGGTTATGACAAGTTTCATACTGCAGCAGCTGCAGGTAGTCACTGCACAAAATTCATGCCCAGGAACAGCAATTGCTTTCTGGAATTAAGAGTCACAAAAACTTAGATTGCTGCATAGGCTGGAGAGGTAAAAAGGCTTATGTGAGTCTTCCATTGTCTTCCTCACGTGGTAACATTACCAGCACTAAGTACTAGAGGAGATCTCCCATCACTTATGTGCGAAGATATTCTAAGCTGCTTACATTTATCTGATCATGGCCATTTATACAATCCTAGATAAGATACTAATCCATTTCTCCAACTCTCAAGTACAGCAATTCAGATCCTGTCTTCAAAAGCATTCCTTCTCTGCATCCAGTTTAGAATTTGATCCAAGATATTATACAAATAATTGCTAGTTAGATTGCTCAGACATTCTATAGGTGACAAAAAGAAAAATAATTCCAGATTAAAATATGCAACATTTGCAGTAGCATCCTTCCTTGCTTTTTCTATCATCCCCTAGAAAACACTGATGAAATCCAAAATTTCTTAAGCATATTGACTCAAGCAAGCAGACTGTCATTTTATTAACTTTTTTTACTTATTTAATCACTGCTTTGGGCATCTTAGAGATTCCTGGAAAGAACAGACACTAAAATAACTCTCATTTATATTAGCGTGTGCCATAATTTGCTGGAAGGGTCTGCTTTGCTGAGGGCCTCTTTAAAGCTTGTCCATCTGGTTTCAATCACCTCATCAAAAGAAACAGCAAATGTCTCCTTCAGAATAGCTGTTTCTTACTCATTTCAATATTCAGTTGTAAGTAAATCAATTGACAGAAGTCACATTGCCAGTTTGCCATACAGAAGAGCACCTCTGACATCTGGTCTGACCTCAGAACATTACTAAGTAGAGGAGTGCCAAGCACTCTTTCCTCTCAGCACAGTTATCAAGCTCTTTAAACAGCCTAAAAAGAGCTATGGGCAGAATTTTGGTGACAACATATAAAATAAGAGGTAGCTAGTGCAGAAGACATATTTCTTAATAAGATTTTACCACAAGTTCCAGCCAGTGTGTGCTTGCTCCTTGTGGGTCCAGAGTGGCCAACCAGAAGATGCATTGCTGCTTGTTTTATGTGGACTTGGGCTTTTGAAGGAGTGCTTAAAATCAAATCTGGCCAGACCAAACCTACACCTGATTCCTCATTAAAATGGATATGTGCTGTGTGGCCATAACAACTGAAGGCAAGTGGACACGTCGTACACCCAAATGCTCACAGGGCAGAGCCTATGGAATTCACTGCACACTGAAGGTGGAACACAATTACTGAGCAGTTTGGAATTATTGCAAAGTAAACCTGTTAGCAAGCTGAGCACACAAGGGGCTGCAGGAACACATACTCAACACCTTCTGCTATTTTGTGAGGTGCTGAGACAGTAACAAACCTGACTCTTACCTCAGGTGGATGGAGCATGGTGCTAATAATGCCAAGGTTGGATTCTTGTGGGCCACCCACTTAAAGAGTTGGACTAGATGAGCCTTCTGGGTCCTTTCCAACTCAGAATATTCTGTGATTCCACAGTTCTTATTTCTCATACCAGGCCATTTTTTTGTGGGTCCCAATGGTTTCACCCCTGGTCCCATAAAAAAAAATTACCCACTGGGTTTTGGACATCTCTTTCCTGTACCACTTGTTGGTCCCATGTTTCAACCCCTTTGATGTCGTGCTCCTGGACTGAACTTTGGGCTTCCTAACGCCAAGAACTGAGCAGGCTCCTGTTAGAAAACTTTTCACAGGCACGGGACTAATGATTAATGGAGGGCACCCATAACACATACAGCAAGTATTTCAAGTATTCTTGATTTACCTGAAAACCATTAAGAAAGAGACTCAGACCTTCATCTTATTTAAACATGAGCTTCTCCTGGCATGTCCCAGTAAATTACACTCAGTACCTCTTCCACAGCATCTTCCCTCAGCTGAGGCCCAGATATTTTCTTCCTCTTGAGTCTGTTCAATACCTTCAATTCCAAGTTCTGGCGTTGAAGGAAAACTTCCAGTTGGGTAAAGCCACGTGGGTCACAGCATTCTCAAAGCTTACAACATATGTAATTTTTTGGCTCCTTTTAATTAGGACATTTCAGAGACAGTTTATTTCTGTCTCATCTTTGAAACTGCTCTCTTTCATGCAATTTCATCTGCCTAACACTCCTCTTAGATTAACTCCATGGTGTAAAACAATACCAAGCAGGTAAGCTCTAAAAACAAAGCAGCAGAGATTTCACTCTCCTTGGTTTTACATGGAAATCATGCCCTCTCTCATCTCAAAATCCAAAATCATTACAATCTAAGAACTTCTATCATATCATGATATTATATCTATTTAAAGCAATAAGAAATGCAGTGTTAATTCTTTCTTAAGCTTTTTTTAAACTTAATGAAATCCAAACTGATGTTATCAATTATGTTACCACTTCCTCACAGTTTCAAATTCTTTGCTTTCCATTTCTCCACATCTTGACTTATTAAAATATTAAAATAAATTATTGTAGTTATTCAACATTTTAGGAAATCAAATGTAAGCCGACTTCCAACAGCTGACACCAAATGCTGACATAATTCAAATGCTCTCAACAAAGGAGAAACACATGAAAATCACTTTTTATTAATTTTCAAGTATAAAACAGTAATTTCTACATTTGTTTGTCCAATGTAAATTATCTCCCCTGCGGTCACGTCCAGCATTAACTCTTAGAGATTTTACACCATCATAATAGATTGTGTTTAATCACTGAAACATATCAAAATTTATTTGTGAGACAAGAAGAAGAATGAAACAAATGTCAAGATTCAACACTGTTCCACCTTCCTTGCACAGTACCCCAGAGAATGCAGCAACTCAGCAGCCTTTCATTTTTTGTGAGCTGCATCTATTCTAGGATTTTATCCTTTTGCACTTCAGATGATTTCTGATATTACTTCTTTCAGATATTATCTCCCTGTACTAGTGTGCAGAGACATTCCTACATTCCTCTGCCTAACAGTAACCCATGGCCTTGGGCCAGACCCAAACTAAAGTGCCACACCCAACAAGCCAAGCCTTTTGCAACAAACCTGACTGTAGGCCAGGATCCCCTGCCAGCCCAGTCCTCTCTCCTTAGGTCATCAAGTGCCTTCTACTAGATAACTATCACTTACTGACAATGGAATTACAGAAAATAAAGCAAGCAAAACCCAAATCAGAGACAGAATATTCCCTTTTGTGCATATAACAAATGACCTGTGCATTTAAGAACAGATGTAAATATAAAGTAATCTGTTTAGAGTATCCTGTGTAGTAGCTGCTATAGGTCATGACAGAAGCATAGACAAAGAGCTACTTCATTTTTAAAGTCTGAACTCCAAGTCAGATTGTCAGATGCAGCAACAAATGACAAAACACAATAGACAGAATGCCAGGCAGGCCAAATATCTGCTTTAAATGTTACCTCTGCATCACAGTGCAGGTGGGACTCTAGGTTCCTATACAGTTACACGAAGAACCTTTTTTCTACAATTAACCAGTCACATAACAGACACTGGTAGTTGCTTTTTGATGCCAGCCAAAATGAACATTATGCTCCAGTCTAACTGTTTTTACTGTTGTTGCTCTGGTGAGGGATTTTTTAAAATTTTGCTTTCATTTGGGTTTTTTTTTTGCAGACTTCGTTGGTGTCACTGCTGATATTTCAGTGATGGTGGTGGTAATGTTTTGTTTAAGATGTTTCTGATTATTAAGGTTTACAATCTATTCAACACTGGAAATCTCACTAATAAATATGGCCACGTTTTCAGCCTACAAACATGGTGGTGTCTATGAAGAGCTAAGCTTCAAACAAAAACCCAGGATTTTCTTTTCCTACAAACACCATAATTTCCAGTTAGTAAAAACAAATTCAGTAGACAGAAGCTTAGCCCTCGAGTAAGTCTGCATTTTTAATACACTGCTACATTCAGAAGAAGCTGTAAAATCAGTCTGTAAAATTAGGAAGCTACTACCAATGCAACGGGCTTTGATGCATAATGACGCCAATCAGGAATTATTCACAACAAGATGCTTTGGTCTGATCCTTAGAGGACAAAGTCTTTAACAAGCATAATGGTGGTGTGGTTGGTTAAAAATCAAGCTACTATAATTGCAGACTGTCAAACACTTCTGTGTTTCAGACAGCTTAAAACCCTCACCTTTTTGTTTTTATCCAGAACATTCAAGATTTTAATTCACAAATAATAGTTATTACTCTGAGTAAAAGAAAAAGCATATAATTTTATCATCAGTGTTTGTTTTGTGTACAATCTGAAAAAAGGCCTGATGTAGTCATGTGTGTCTCTCATTTTACAATTACCTAATTTCATCATTCAAAGATTCCTCTAACAGCAGTTCTAAAACCCCACTTTGTTCCAATGGCTATGCAAAATACAGTTGTACCAGTTCCACTTCCAGAAAACAATTCAGTTTTGTTTAATGCACTGCCTTGCACCACCATCATCTTCCTCTTCTACTACAGGTTAGAACGAGTCAGCCAGGGGAATTCCTGGAAGCAAAAAAAATAAATCAACACAGAATAAAAATCACATCAGAATGGGCAAACAATAAGAGGAACAGTTAACAGAGGAAATCCAGAGGATTTAAAACTACTCAAAAATGTCTCATCTCCTTTGGTCTAGAATGAAAAGGAATAACCTTAAGTTCTGGAAATAGTAATTAAGGACACTATACATTGACAACAGCCAGTGGGGAAAAATCCCAAACAAGCAGATAGCAAGAAAAGCAGATGGCATGGTGTAAAAGAACCTATTTTCTCCATGTCCCAAATCTAAGAACAATCTTTCAGCTTTGCAACCATGTCTGCCTCCTCTGTGCTTTAAGTGATAGTCCCTAAGGTTTTCAGAAGCTTACCACCATGAAGCCTGCAGAAAAAGAAAGGAAAACAATACATACCTGTTTCTTTCTCTCAGATTGTGGATCAATCATTACATTTATAAGAGAAGGTGTTTGCTTGTCAGTCACACTTGCTTTCAGAGCATTCTGCAATTCTTCTGGTGTCTTAACAAAGTATCCTTTACCTCCAAAGGCAGACATAATTTTCTCATAGTGTGCATTTGGCAGGAGAGAAACAGGAGGTACACTGTAACAGAATGGAAAACATGATTAATGGCATGGGAAAATTGCCAGGCTAATTCAATTACTTTAGCACCAATTTTAAAGTGCGAGATGATTACTGTGCTGGCCTGACGTGTTCTTCTGGGCTGAAAGAACTATGGTTCCTGCATCACCTAAGATGTGTTCATAGGGTACTCATTTTTATCTTGTGGAGACATTTCTCAGCAAAGCTTTAGCCTAGCTCTCTTCATACAGAGATTGCAGCTCAGAAGCAGAAGTCCTGTGAAAACTCAGAACTCAAGTCTCAAGTAATTTTGGAGAGTACCAGGATTTGGAAAGTTAACCCACTGCGAACTCTGTACTGTGTGGGCTGAACTGCTGCAGGAACCTGAGAAAACTAATAGAGAATCATCTCTCTGCTGCACTATTGTGCAAACAGTAGGCTGGAATTAGACTGGCTGTTTGCTTTTGGTAACTGGTTCTTACTTACATGAACTTAGCCCAGGACTAAACTGATTTTATAAATGTAATTTTAATCTGGATAACAAAGCATTAAAAATTAAGAGAATGACCATTTTGGTAACTTCTTTCACAGTTAACAGGACATACTTTGAAGATGCTTACCATGTAGCAGGGTCACCAAACTTTAACATCTCCTCCCAAGAACTTGCATCCAAACCAGTGTAAATCCCATTGTTGTTTACTACAATAATCAGGATTGGCAAGTTGTATCTATAAAAAGACACATTTGGAAGAATTATGAAATACTTGTCCCCTTCTGTAAGATGTTAAGAGTGTAATTTCCCTTACAAATAAAAGGAAAAATAAATCACTTCCACCTGAAGTATGATTTAATCATCACTGGTAAAGCACTACATCACAACAACATAAAAAATGAGCATGTATGTTTTTTGGCTTGTTTTCATGGGCTTTATGGATACCTCAGCAGTTAAAGTCATTTAGTTAAAGTGACCCTGAAGAGCATCTTCTTGAGCCAAAAAAACCCAGTTACCTGCAGATAGTCTCCACCTCCATTCCAGAAAATCCAAAAGCACTATCCCCTTCTATGCAGACAACTCGCCTTCCAGGTGTGTGGTCTCTGGCTACCATGGCAGCTGCTATAGCAAAACCCAGCCCCACTCCCATGGTTCCAAAAGTACCTGCATCAAGCCTAAAGGGAGAATACAGAATTACTATCCCTTTATTTCTACTCAATCTACTCTTCCATTAATCCACGGTGCCTTACTTTTACTTTTAATACTTTGCCATATAGTATTCAAATACTGTTTTATAAACAATTGGAATAAAGAGATACCATATGTAGAGATTATTATACTCAGTCAAACATTTGATAAAGCTGCAAATGTTTTAAGTGATATAAACATACTGGAACTCCAATTAAAATGAAAAACTCTTCTACACTAGTGCTACAATAAAGAACTTTTCTCATATGCTTTTAGCTTGCATAGTAACAGTATTTCAAAAACATTCAATTACTGTAGAGACAGACAACATGAAATATTTCTATATTTAATTTCTTGAAAATATGACTATTAGTCTGAAAGCCATTGATTAAATACTGCTGCCCAAATTTTAGTCTTCTGTTCAACCATTTGAAATCAAATTGAAAGCTATAATTTAGTTAGATCATTTCAATCAGAAGCACATAATGGATACAAAAGTACACAAAGCACTAGATTATTCTAGGGTTAACTGCTCAAATTTGCTTTCAGATATGTGCAGTGCGGTCTGAAGAGACAACCAGCAACATTACTGTGTCCCCCAACTCTATTGGAAGTAAATGGTTTTCTTGGTTGTTGGTTGTTTCGTTCACAAAGCAATATTTTGAGTACCCATATCTTAGGCATGCAAGTTTACATGAAAGCATACCCAATATATAATCCAATTTTCAAGTTTTCCCTATTTTAAAGTGTTTCACAGAAAAACTCTTCACATGAATTCTTTTCAACATAAGAATCCCAATGATTGTTTTTTTTTTCATCAATATTTACCACAGACTCTGAACACAGAAACAAACATGTAGGTCAGGGAATTGAACACAATGCTCATCACTCACTTTCCACGAGAGAGAGAGAGAGAGAGAGAGCAACTATCACCATTCTGCTGCAGAGCATGCAGAGAACTGTTAAAATCTATGGCAGGACATCAGTATGTGAGTGGAAAACCTTCCTTAATCCTCTCTCAACATATTATACTTCTGTTTTCCAGACCATTGTACTTCTTAAATGAAAACATTTATGCAGAAATGTAGCCTGTTGAGTCAGAACAGAAGACATCCCACCTTTGACGGGGATAGAAATTTGGAAGCATAGTTCGTCCAATGTCCATGGTATTTGCTCCCTCACTTACTAAAATGCAGTCCTTGGGTATCAGCTCTCTGATGTGATGAAAGACTGTATAATAATTCATAGGCAGAGATTTCTGTAATGCTAATCCCTTAAAAAGAAAAGATATTAGTTACTCCCATAAATAGATTTAAGGTGCAAAACAGAGACACATAAATAATAACGATGGAAATAAAAATACACTCTGCTAGGTAAGGCTGAAGTATTTGGTTTTCCATGCTCTACATCAAGGTCATTCCTTTATCTATCCTGGTGACATAACATATTTATCAGAGGCTCAGCAACCCTTCAATGGCCCAGCATTGGCAGAAGCTATTAAAACTCAGTTTAACCCAAGAGGCACATGAAAGTTTTCTGCACCCAGGTTTGACTATTGACAACTCTAAGTGAGCTGTCATCTGTGTGCTGGGAGGTAATTCAAAACAGCAATCTGCTAGAATGAATTTATTTTAGATCCCAATCTTGGGAATAGGCATCTGAAGTTGCAGAATAGGAGTTACATAAAGTTAGGTATATACCATGCATCTGTGGTGTCTTGGTCTTAACAGCTAGTTGCTTTTAGCATAGATTAAACCTAGACCAGCATTGCTAAACTGCAAAATTACAAACAGTGATTACAATTAGAAGAAAACTAAGAATGCGTCCACTTGGAGTACCTGGAGTATCTGTCCATGGCCTAGAAGTCAGTGCCTAGAACACAGCAGCTCTGGCTGTGGTCTTCTACTAATGGCTTTAAGAATCCAATCTCAAAGAGTGATGATTTCTACACAGTTTGAATTTACACAAAATCATAGAATGCTTAACCTATAAAGCTTATAGTTCCTAAGTATAAGAAGAGTAAGCCTGTACCAGAATGGTACAAATTTTCTAAGTCTGGGCGACTTAAATGAGAAATAACTGAGGAGTTTGGATATAGACCAGTTATAAACTGACAATGCATCAGTGCCAGTTACAGCATAAAAGAAACCTTTTAATTTCTTTAATGTCACACTACCTTCGACCTTTCCTCGTTGTTCTTTATTTTCGCTCTTAGCTTCTCCCACCACTCTGAATTAGAAGGGTACTTCCAAGATCTTTTGCTGAATTCTTCTAAGAGCTGGAACAATATTGAAATGTTGCAGAGAGGTCTTTCACATGTTTAAAAGACAACAAAAGCATCTTTAACATATAATTTGAGAATAGACTGGGTATACAACATGAATATACTGCCTGAAAAATGGTTTTCCTTTAACAGCTGGAGTTTTTTTCCTTTTATTTTTAACTGGCAATATACTTCGCATGAATCAGAGGAAATTGAGGTCAAGATCAGAGGACACGGGACATTACATACCTGCTCAGTCACGGCATTTATGTCACCTAATAAAGTTGCAGCTGGCCTTACATTATTCCCCAGCTCTTCTGCACAAATATCAATCTGCATTTTAAAAACAAAGACAATCATTAGTTCAAGGATATTAAGGAGAACTTTTTTTTTTCAGTTCAAGTGAGAAACATGGCCTAACATACATAGATGTCTAACATTGTCTTCATACCTTGTTTTGGCTGTACAGGTAACTTCCTTTGCCTTTCCTTGACATGATATCAGGAAATCCTTTATACAAAGTAAAACCCTATGCTGCATACCTATTTTAATAAAAATCATACATATCTTTAAAGTTGACTGCTTGCTTCTTTCAAGTCCTGCAGACACTGTAGAACTTTATTACAATACTGTAGGAGACCTAAAAATCTAGTCTCAGGTATACCCATAAAGTCTATACAAAAGCAGCAGTTTTTTCACTGAGAAAATTGTGTGCATGCTACTTGACAGTAAGAATTTAGTCAGCATGAAGAAACTGAAAAGTAAATTGCAACTACTGAAGCAAACCTATCAGAGACGCACGAACCCTTTAAGGTTACATAAACTGTTACTTTTGACCAGGTCACACAGACTACGAACTGGCTTAGTATTTTAATACAAATCTCTGATAATATTTTTTCATCTCACTTTTTTTTTATTTTCTTTAAATTTTTTAAAAAGAGGAAACATAAAATACGTATTATTTGTAAAAATCATATTTGCAAAAATAACATCTGTATTTTTAAAAATTTAGTTTAAAAATTAATGCTATTGTAAAGTTTGGAACTTTATGTTCCAGGTCAATGTAGAGCAGGACAGACAACATGTTGGATTGACTATTACTATTTGATCACAGACTCTTGGGGAGGAGATTTTAAGGACACAATTTAAAGTCTTCTCTTTCTAAGACCTGGCAGATTGTCAAATGCATTATTTAGTTAAATAGCCTTTCTTCCTCTCTTATTTAATTTACAAGTGACTGAGCTCTTACATTATGACAGGATCTGAAAGCAGTTCATTTTCAGAAAAATGCAGCCAAGAGAGCAGTACGAAAGAGTCCACAATTTCAAGGACAGCTTTCTTTCAATCATAGAAATTTCAACGCTCCAAAGATCATAACAGTATTGTTAGTCTAATCCTGTATTAGCCAACTGCATAGAAGTGTCTGCCCTTCTCATCATTGCAGTACCAAGCTCTTGATACTAGGAGCAATATTGTAAGCATTTTTAGGAAAAAAATAATAATTAAAAACAATAATTAAAGAGATCATAAGTATTTCTGAAGAATTACCATAATTATATGCACCACACTGCACTGTCCATATGGCAGTACTTGCCCCATGAAATACATAACCAAAATAATTTACAGTACTTGCTCTGGACAGTTCTGGAACACAGAAGACTTCCATTAAGTGATAATAATTTTCCTGCTTACCTGAATAACCTTTACATCCTGTCGATACCTTGGTGGAAGACCAAAATGCAAAATCCAATTCAACCTTGCACCAAGCAAGATGATTACATCAGCATGCTGTAATGCCCTAATAAAGGGAAATGACAGATAAGAAATCACTATTACATTTAACAGTCTTTGCAAAACTAGAAGCAACCCCAACCACCACAGCAAACCCCAGAAGCTTTAAGCTGCTTGCTTAGCCCCAAAACCCTGTATCCTTTTATAGAGCCAATCACCAAGCCATTCCTGAGTTAAGGAACTTAGAGAAAATTAATTACTATTTTCCTATTACACTGTATAGAGAAAAGGAATCATTACATTAGGAGACCAACAAGATGCTAGAATGATACTGAGGTTAAAGCAAAAGACTCACTATTGTGACACTGGCAACAGTAGGCACCAAAATTAAGATTGTATGGGCCTCTCAGTTTAGTCTCCCATTAGTTTACCTTTCAGATAGGCAGACAATATTTGGTATATTCTTTTATTCTCCATTCTCCCTAGCAGCATGCTTAACATGTGATAAAGATAAGATGCTCAGCAATCGACAGCATTTTAATTTCAGGGTACATAAATGCTCCATCTGCAAACCGACTCTGTGCATATTCATACATAGTAGAGATCTTAAGAGTCCATTCACATTAATTTTGCCAAAAGGAAAAAAAAAACTTGTTAAAAATTACTTTAAACATAGCCTTTCAGTATAGTTTGAAATATCTTACTTTTCTTTATAAATAAAGTGCAATTTAGTGATGGGGTATTGCAAACACCACAGAGAGACAACAGCTGGCAAAACTTCTACTGCAACATGGGCAGTTCAAGCTACTGTTTATGGTGTTAAAGCAAAAAGAAGTAGCTTGTCTAGTGCACAAAGTGAAATGTTTGACATAAACTCTTTGCCAGCTCTGTTTTATGTTACAAAATACACACTAGCAACATTGATACATCTACTTGCCATAGGTTTCATAGCTACAGAATAGAATATATCTCAAAGTATCTTCCTGGTCAGCATTCTAAAGTGATCCACTTAAATTTGTTGTCCCTTTCCCAGCAAGATCTTCGGTGCTCTACAGTGAGGTGCAAAACATGGTTGAAAAAGTTTTAGTGGTATGAATTTTCTCTTCCCTGGCATCTGTAGACCACCAAAATTCCTAGTTATTTCTCAGATGTTAGGATTAGAAGTCTTGCTTTATATTTACGTTGATCTTGCTGCAGCTACACAATTTGGATGGTTATCAGGAACTACTCCTTTTGCCATGGGTGTAGGCAAAAAAGGCAGTCCAGAAAGGTCCACCAACTTTCTGATGTTGTTTTCAGCATATGAATAAGCAGCACCTGAATGAAATGAAAGAGACTGCTTAATACTACAGAAATCAACTGTATTTGCTTGAACTTCAATGAAGCTGATTACATTATGGCAGAAAGAATACTGTTTCCCATTGTGAAAGCTGCCTGTTATTTTTCATTCTGAAGAATTCAAAATTAAACATGCCAAACCACAGATAACTATGGTTAAAATTTCACGTATTTTTGACAAAAAGTTTTGTTTCCTTGGTATTTTTGTAAGACTTCAGCTGAACTTCTTTATCACTTCTTATGAAGCAGGGCAGAGAAAAATAGGAGATCTTGTTTATTTTAAATGACAATTTTTTAGTGGGTGGAGTTTGATATTATGGGACAGAGACCTCTGCAGCAGCAACGTGAGATGACCTTTATGTTGTGTCATATCATTTCTTGCTTACCCCCTGCATGCTGCTGTACCACATGCTCCATAACAACCTGCCCAAAGACTCTACTATAGGCTTTAGTGAAAAGAGAGAAGCACAAACAAGTCCTTGCAAAGGTATGTGTTTGTGCACACACTTCCGGTGATGCTGCAGCAGTACAAGGCTGCTGAATTAAGCTTGCCCAGGCAACCTGGAATAACTGACTGGTCCTTGTGCAATGGCTTGAATGTGTGAGTCTTAAATCCTGAAGAATATACATTTGTAAATCTTCCAAAAATGCTGCTAACAACAATATATAGCACAAAGTCCAGGTACATTTGTTGAGTAGATTCTCAATTGCTGACATCGACAAAACAGTTGTGAATTTTCCATTTCAAAGAACACCCTTTTCTTCACGTGTATCCAGCCAGAGAGAAAAAATAACAAACCATAATCTCTTCTGATCTACCTTCTGTTTTCAATTTCATTACCTAATCATTCATAAGATCCATCAAATTTCAATCACTGCACTCCCTAATTAAACATAGAGATAATTTCCCACATCTGCAGGAAAATAGCCTGGGTTAAATGAGCTGGTTATTTTAATTCTGTTCCTAGCTGACCTATATCTTCAACAGAAAGACGACTGCACTGGCTAACACTCCACAAGGAAGCACAAAAGAAATGAACCAGCACAGAGAATAATTACCCTTCAGCTCTAGGAATTGATTATACTGGCAGAGTACAATGAAAAGTCTGTAAAACAGCAACAGCAGCAGCACCTGCTGTGTTGATGCATGTCCCCACCCAGGTAGGCTGGCGCTTCCAGTAAAAACCAATAGAAAAATGACCTTTGGTTACTCTTGATTCTTGCTACACATGCCAGAGCATCAGAGAGAAAATAAAATTTCTTTAAGAATTTAAATTGTTCAGAATTTTGGAAGTAATTGCCTGGCATTGGCTCTAGAATTAAAGATAACAGTTATCTGATTTTTTTCTATATAAACGTGTATTTTATAAATTGATTTTTCTTTAAATTAGATGAAAAATAAACCATTACAGAACAGGAAAAAAAATCTAAAACCAGAGCAAATTTTAACATTAGATTCCAAATTTTGTGTTTTTACTTCTGGTTGGTTTGTTTGTTTGACTAAAAAGAAGATGGGTAGCACTTCTGAGGAAAAGCAATCACTGTTCTTGTCCTGAATGTGCACAGTTCAAAGCTACATCAAAGCATTCTACCTTTGCCAATGATGAGCAGAGGCTGCTTGGAAAAAGCAATGACAGAGGCTGCTTTGGATACAGCAGAGTGTTCAGCCATGCTGATGGGAGGTGGCAGGCAGCATTCCATGTACCTGAAGCCAAGCAAAACAAGAGAGGTTCTTTAAAAAATTCCAAACAAGAAATGCTGAAAGACAAAAACCTATTGTTTAGCATAAAATTGCAGTTGCTACACACCATGTTACAGCATTTATTATACAGGAAATATTTTTTTCAAAATAGGCTTTGAAGTTTTCTCTCCTTGTTTCTTTAATTTTGTAGGTAGTACTTCAGAGATTTACAGAGTGACATCATTATATTACCACATTAACTCATTCTTTTTTGCACGTTTCATTACAAACTGTAATCTGTATCATGTTATGATGGAATGTTACATTTAGAAACTGGATTTTCTTGTTTTAGGAAAATAAAATATGAAATTAACCTATAAATGAATTATCTTTTGTTCAGTGAATTGCAAAATAATGAATGTAATCTTTACGCACTTGACAGAGCTCTTATTCACCTGAAGATTCACAAAATCCCCGGGTATGTCAATATAGCAGGAACCTGGGCGACCATACATACTGGTTCTTACAGCCTAGAAAACATACAATCATAGTTTCAATCACTGTTTGACAGGATTTTAAAAATATTTATATTCAAAAAAGAAGAAAACTCTTCTGTAGGCAGACAAGGTGCACAGTTTCATTTTGCTGATTCATCATAGTGAAAGCTTCCACGGGTTGATTTATACCAACAAAATAAAGTTTTGGCAGCTATTTATACTTTCTCTTATATACCAGCTGGAGCCTTTCAGAAGATGTCTCATTGCAAATTAAACAAAAAATTTAGAGTCTAATACTGTACAACTGCATTATCAGCTGCTGTTTGGAGACACAAAATTGAACATTCATGCTGAATTCTACCTCAAGTAGCACAAATAGAGTAAAACCAAGATAACCAATGCTTCCATTTTCTATTACTTTTGATCCCAGTTCTTCTATTGCAGGTAGATGCTCTGCTGAATTTGCACTTCTGGAAACAGTATGACTGTATGCAGAATTTAGGCTGACATGGCTGAAGGGCTGCTACAGCAGTACCAAGAGACTTTTCTAATCCTCTCTGAAGTACTGAGATAAGGATGTGTTTTCTCTCACTCTCAAAAAAAAAACCAACCCAACAAAGCAATTACCAAACTCAAACCCCAAACACAACCATCTCCACTGCCCCCCTCCAAATCTCCTTCACATGACAGTGGAAAAACAGCTGAAGCATTAAATTTCTATTTACTGCACCTCTCCCTAAAAGCATTTATTTCATAAAAATTTTCCTGCTCTATCTGAAGCTAACAAAAACTATTGCAGGGATCAGTAAGCATCAGACTGGATTAGGATCTATTTCTGGTCTATTCCATAGCACTGCTCATAAGGCAGAACTTCCCCAATTGTTAATTTACTCAATCAACCATCACTTCCTATCTGCCAGAGTAAATTACTTAGAGTAACAACTATACAAAAATACACCCTCAAAACTTCAACAGGAGACAGTTACCTGATGATCTGTTGCTATTTTGTATTTTTTCATACCTTTTCAATAACTGCAGGAATAACTTCCAGGCTGCTTGGGCGGACAGACAGCTTGCTGTACAGCCTGCCAGCTTCAACCTGAAAAAAGGCAAACAATCATTGTATTGATTTATCAAAATGATTTGTTCATTTCCATCTCAATTCAACATGAATAAAATGAAAGAAATGCCAGATGAAAAGCAACAAGGTAGAAACCTCCCCATAGAAAAATGCAGTAGCAGCTCGTGAAAACTGTCAAAACCATACTCATTCCTCCGAGTGCTTAAGGTTTTTCGGCATTTTTTTTCCCCTCCCCCATAAACAGGTTTATTTTCTTGGACATTTTGCTTTTGTCATCTCAGAACAAACAAAGGTAATTTATACTGGCTAAAAATCTAAAAGAGAGTATGAATTCCAACATGAGTAGGGACAAAGACATTCAAGGCAATCTGCTGTATTTACACAATGTCAATTTTAAACCAGTAGATGGAGCAAATCAACAGCATTTAAGATCTGCTAGGTTATGTTAGTGTTTGAGATTGTTTTTCCTACAATAATGAAGAAACAAGAATTATTTAACTGAAACCTTCCTGTAGAAATTTATATGTCTGTGTACCTGTGGAAATTCTTGGAAAGCTCCCATGGTTTCCTGATTTCTGTCAGAAGAACCTCCAATAACAATCAAAGGCCTAGAAAAGTATATTAAAAAACAAAAAACCCCTGTAAGTATATACATCTATATATAGAGCATCCACAGATCTCTACAAGAGTAGATATAGAATGCAGAAATGGATTCTAAATATCAGTGTCAGCCAGTAGCCTTCCCAGCAGCTTTTGGGTCATCAGTTTTGGGACAATTTGGCCATATTCAGTGATTTGCATCACAGAAGTTCTAAAATCAAATCCCATTGCAGGCAATTTTCATTCAAGTTTGATAATAGGGGCGACACAGTGGTTTGAGGGAATGACAACACCTAATAAGAAGTTAAGAGGTATTGATTTGTCCAAAAAATATTAAGCTGTGTGTTTATAAAGGGTATCCTAACATGCACAAGCACTAGAACTAAGAAACAAGCTAGGATACAATTTTGCAAAAAGATTATATTTTCTTTGTATACAATTTGGAACACAGCAGAAGTTAGCTGGCTGAGAGCACAACTCCCTGCATTTTGTTTTTAGTAAAAAAACTCCAAAGTCCAAAGAAACAGACAAAAGATTAACATGCCTGCAAGCAATCCTGAACTTAAATTAGTTCACAGCAATGCAAGGAAGGTGGTATTACTTCAGAATGAGGATTATACATTCCACAGGAGCACATTTTTATTGTAATTTCCACAAAATATAATATAATTCCTACAGTGAATGAAAGCCTGTCTTTTATTCAAATTGTAGGTCAAACTCCTTAAAATGCTAAATGCTGAATCAATAGAAGAAAGTTGTTTTATTAATCTCCTTATTCATCCACACTGTATTGGAATGTTGGGTCTATACTTTCAAGGCTTTTTCTCTTAAACATTTTCTCTTCAGATATGGCCTTTGCTTTGACTAAATTTATATATACAATGTATCAAGCTGAAACATTTGCAGTGTGTTCCATGCATAATCCTAAATTTAATCACCCACAAGACTTGGGGATATGTGTATCTAGATCCAAGCTTCATAACCAGGCCATTTCTCTGCCATAAATCAAAAATCTCAGCTCAAATCCCCTGGCGCAGTGAAATGAGAACTTCAGGCTCTATCTTACCTCTATGAAAAATCATTATGGAAAAATGCACTTGGTGACTGAACTACACATTTTATTCTGCTTATTCTCTCCCCTCAGCAAAATGGTGATTAGTATCCAAGACTGTTTGACAGTAACAAACCCTATGTTCCTCTCACTTGCCTTTTCCAAATTTATTTAAATAGTTCAATGAACAAAGTAACTACTACTTTCCAATAATGAAATACAATTACAAAGCTGGTCTACTATTTAGAAAGCCAACTCCAACAGATCTATCTTGAAAAGATTTAGTTTTGCCTTTGAAGTTCTAACTAGAAATAATTCTAACTAGAAAGAAGTTTTTCCCTCAAGGAAATCACTGTACTACTGTCACAATACTGTAGACATTTTGAAGGGCAGTACTTATAAATCAAAGCAAAAACAACAGTGAGGCAGAAAGAACATTTGACTATAATGAAACTAATAATGGTAAGTCTTATGGACTTGCAGGAGAACTCCAGGAAACTGAAAAAAATTTTATCTGCAACTTCAGGGAAACAGCATGGTACTTCAGCATACTTGTGTTTACTCTAAATCTTACCAACTATCACGCTTGTCTTTGGAGTCTATTGTCATAGCCAGACTGAGGTACAAAATCTTGCTCAGTATGAGACAAGACAGGAGGCAGCAGCTTAGCAGGTAATTTTCAGTGTGAAATATCAAGACGTTTTACCCTTGAAAAAGCAATTTACCCTCAAAAATATTTCCTGCAAATCCACAAGTAAATGACATGCACACTTCTTTCTTATAACCAAACTCCTGACTGTTCAAAAGCAAGGTTTTCATATAATCTTCCTTTCTTAGTCTAACGTCAAATAATGACAGCAAAACTTTAGTCAATAACTCATTAAAAAAAAATAACTTGAACACTAGAGGACTTTTTTCAAAATGTCAGCCTTGATTTGTTAGTGTTCCCATTTCCGAGCTTCTCTCGTCCATCAGCCACTGCTAATTCAGTGTTCCAGATCATTCTGTTCTGGATCACATTCTGTTCTGTGAACACATCTGCTTGGTATTGCTACAGCTTCTTCCCAGGATACCTCAGTACAGCTTTCTGAACAGCTTTCAGTGGCAGACCAGGCAAAGCTTCACATCTCAGTGAAGGCTTACAGGAGTAAATACTATCCCTCTGTACATCATTTAATTCAATACTTAATTACTGCTCAAAATGTCTGTGTGAGGGGCAAATAGGGATTTTAACGATGCAGTTGTCAATTTATTCACATATGAAATACAGCAATTCAAAGGCAGTATGAATTTAAATTTAGGAAACACCTTTAAGATGCTCTCCATGATCATGAAAGCATTACAGGCTAATATTGACTTCGTTTTCAAACACACCCATACAACCAACTATACTGATAGATCTAACATACACACAATGGGGTAGGACAAAATCAAAAATTGTATCCATGAGAATACAAAAAATATAATTAAATTAATTTTAAGGTTGATAAAGGAAGAATTTCTCCTCATTATCCACATGAAAGGGGAAAAAAGTAACATACAAAATACTGTGCAGCTCAACACCTGAAACAAGTAACAACACACAATTATTAGAATTTTAAAGGGAAAATGCAGTTAAATTACCAGCAGTTAATGGTTGCATTTGCCATCCCACCAAGGGTGTGTAAGAAACCTGGACCGGACACTACAAGACATACTCCTGGTCTACACAGAAAATACAAAAAGAAAAAAAGAGGAAGAGAGAAAAAAGTGAGTACATGGAACATAAAAAAAAAATCTACAAAAATTAGTAAGGTACTAAAACACAGAACATTGAAGTTTTACTCATGTCATCAAAACTCATGAATTTGTATGAATAACTAAAGATAGACATGAAAATCAGAAACTATGAAGCTGTATCAATTCAATTAGAAAAGCAAGTGAACAATTACGTGCCACCCACACACAGGTGGGCAATATACACAGGCTTATCCTGTGTATTTACACAGCTCCTGACTTCTTCTATCACATTTGCTCTGCCATCTAATGTTCATATGCAATTTGGTACACTTATGTTTGTAGTTTTCTCAACTGCACTTTATCAGCAGTCACCAATGAAGAAAGCTCCCACTGGATGAAGCGCATCTGATTCAACACAAATTTTGCCGAAATTTAATTCAGGCAGAGACACTTGTTATTCCAGGTGATGAGATAAAAAATGGTAATTCTTAACTGGTGAGCATTTCTCAATAGCTTTGCACACCCTTTACATACCTGCCAGTCAAATATCCAACAGCAGATGCAGCATAACAGGCCTGTTGAAAATACTGGAGTTAATGATATGATGACGATGATGATGTATACATTTAATGATATTTTGTAGATAACTTTCAACAAAAATACTGAAAATAAGCAGGTACAGATTCTTCCCTAACTGTAAGAGCTTAAATGCAAGTAAAAGCTCCATTTTGCCCTTTCCATAAGATATGTCCATGAAGATTAATGTGAAAAATCTAAAATCTCAAGACTCTTCTCCACTTCTCTCCATATTTCAGGCTCCTGCTGTTACAAGATATTACATTAGGATTATTTGGGATTTGAAAAAGAAAAAAATCAACCAGATTAAAAAACCCAACTAAAACCAGGGAAGTGAAGGCAATAGAACAAAACAGGAAACTTCTGCTTTCCACTGTCTTCTGGATGAACATGGAAGAGGGACTCACATGAGAAAAATAAGCAGAAAGGCAGCCATTCTGAATTGTATTTCAGAAATAAAGCAAAAGGTTGAAATCTCACATTGAAGAGAATAATTAGATGAGATCATCTTTTACAAGCTAAGCTGCTGAAATACTTCTCACTCCACTTCAGTATCACACATTTAAAGAAAAACTGTATTTTAAATAAAAATCACAAAAGTAACATCTACAACGTGTTGGCATAGTTGATCAGCAGTGTTATTGCAGAGTATGTTTTTAAGCTATTCCCGGAGTGATATTAAACATTTAGATATAAATTTCACTGGTAAAAAGACAGTATGTGATCAAGAAGTTTACAGGTGACAAAAGAACTCAAGAATTCACGTGACAATGCCCACTCTCATATTTCCATACTCTTGTCTTGAAATCAGCATGCTCTAACACTTAATGGAAAAATAACTCATTTTGCAGTATTTTGTAATATCTTAAAGTAAGCTTCTGGCCTCAGAACCTGCCTCTTTCATTTTTAAATAGAGGAGGGATTTGTTTTTAGTTATAATTGAGTACTCTGGTGATAAAATGCCCACTTTGGTTCCAGCTGCCATTATTACAGAGCTCTTGAGCCCAATTCCCTTGACAGCTGCACCAACTCCAGCATAATGTATGCTCACAACTAACTCAGGGTACAAATATCAAGAGACTGCTTTGAATATGCAGTGATAGTTATTTTTAAAGATTAAGAAGTAACATAAACAATGTGTGTTGTTAACAAATAACCATATAGTTTTGAAGTTTAGAGCTGATCTGGGTTATCAGTCTTCTAAACAATGGCAGCAATCTCTAATTACCCAAGGACAGATACACAAAACAGGCGCCCCTGTAAAGTTGCAACACAGTCTTCACTGTGCAAAGGGCATATGGATGCAGGTCAAAAGCTTCTGGCAAACTCATGCCATTTTACAGCCCACAGGAGACCAGCTCATGGGCATTGGCAGCGCTACTTTCAGCTTCATGCTTTCACCAGGTATTTCTGTTCTGCAGTTTTATGAGCTTTTCACAGAATCATTAAGGTTGGAAAACACCTCCAAGATCACCGAGTCCAACGTCTGACCAATGACCATCTTGTCAACTGGACCATGGCACTAAGTGCCATGTCCAGTCATTTTTGAACACCTCCAGGGATGGTGACTCCACCACTATCCTGGTGAGGTTTTATTGTGTTTTATGGGCCCTATTTCCTATGAACACTACTAATTAAAATTTTACTACTTCTACAGGGAAATCCTTTTGCTACATCTGGCACAGAAATGAGGTAGAAACTCAATCCCTGGGAAAAAAAACCCCAAACCTTAATTTTCCATATATCATATACAGCTGCCTTCACTAATAAAGGAGGCAGCTGTATACACATCCTCCACAGCCAGGCCACACAACTGAGACATTTAAAACTATGACATGTATATATTGAGTATATCTTGAATATACTATATATAAGCTTTCACCTTTTGCCAAGAAATTATTATTCACTGAGGAGAAAGAGCAGACCAAAAGTCACTACAAGATACAGCTTCATTCATCCTTTTTGACTCTCCAAAGAAGAGAAAACCTGACACTTTGACATTAAAACTAGTCTTTGTGCTATTTTTATTCCACTAAGCAAAAGCAGCCCATCATTTATCAGCAGAATGTTTTTTGTCTCCTTCATCCAGTAAAGAGCAATAAATAGAACATCTCATTTGGCAGTGTAAAGCAATCTTCTCTGTTAATTACACACACATGAGGAAATTAATTTTAATCATGTTAGTAACCACAGCTAAAACTAGAATATTTGCTAAATGGCCTACAGGAATATAAAGACTGTGCCAAATTCCTAGTTCTTCAAAGACTCAAATACACCTTTTAAACATGTTTGTATATATTTGCCTCTCTCATGTTACAGGTTTTCCATAGAGACACGCATTCATCTAAATTCTCACATTCAAATATAACAACGTAACGACTACACAGCAAAAACACACAGCTCACAACCACCTGATGTGGGAGAACTACTGTAACAACACTTGGTTGAGGACTGGAACAATCCAAGAGGTTATTAACTACATAAATTAAGAAAATCTGGCAGCTGCTGTAGATCAGGTATGGAAAGCTGCTGGTCCCTCTGCCACCAGCTCAGCAGCCAGTTCCCCATCTTCTGCAGCGACCCTTGAAAATGATGTACAAATCCAAGGTTATTATCTTCAACCTCAGACCACCCAAGAAACTACTGAGATTAAAGAGTTACTACTGTGAGAAACCAAACAAATGCAGAACTAGTGGCATTCCACCAAAATGCTGAGGAGCTTGGCTCTTAATTTCTGACACCTGCACAATAAAATTGAAATATACATAAATAAGAGAGTCTAAGTATATGTTCATGGTTGATTTTAAACACTTGGAAGCATTATTACTTTCTATTGTTTGCTGTTCTGTGAGATTTTAAAACATAGGGGAAAAAAACTATAATTATTGAAATTGTCAGAACAAGTTTATCAATCAACAGGAACACTTTCCTCTTTGGGCACTTAAGAACACTATATAGAGAGGGGCAAAAAAAGTAAAGAGGTAGGCAAGAACTAAAATACTACCAGTTGGAGTGAGGATGATAATATTGGAAATTGTGTAGAAAGCTAAAGCTACAGAAAAACAAAAGATCCTGGATGAGAATCCCAGAACTTGGTAGATAATATCTGACAATATATCACTTAAAGGAGATAGCCTGTGATAGAGAACAAAAAATTATCAGTTATCTTTAAATTATTTTTTTTTCTTTTTTTATTTTTCCTATCCTTGCTCCCTTATTGGAGAATGACATTTTTAAATGGAAGAAGATGCAATTCTGTTATCAGAAAAGGAGAGGGCCACTTTAAAATGGAAATGGGGAAAGAAAGGCACAAAGAAACACTCAACCCAATGCAACAATGTTCTCCAAATAAGACTGGCTGCTCCTGTATACGTTAATTAAAGGAAAATTCAGAGACCACATTCTTTCTAGTAAGAAAACTTACACTGGGTTTTGTTCCATTGTAAAAAAGTTAAAGAAAGGGCTAGTCCCACTACAGATATATACTTACAGCTTGTTCATTTCTCATTCCCACATATTTTATTCCAACTGCCTGGGCTGCAATTGCGATTTCAGTGATTGGAATACCAACAATGCCAAACATATATTCGATATTCTATAAAGAAAAATGTCGGGAAAAGTCAGAGTGTTTATTCCCAAAAGACAGCTTTAATAAGCACATTTCAAACACAAACATGCTAACTACACAGGAAGTCTAAAACTAAAATGTAACATATATAGTCACAGAGAAGCTCACGGGTCACCGTGGAAACAGAGCTGGCATCAGCTGGTGTTTGCAGCTCAGCCCTCTGGTTGTGAAAGCCCTGGATTTTGGCAGTCTACAAGCAGTGGGACAAGGGTTCAGTGCCTCAGCCAAGGTGTGTTTAGTGCTTTCTACTGAGCAATTCTTACCTGGGACATCTCTGCTATGTCACTTTCCTGATTCTCAGTACGTCAGCTTCCTCTACTCTGAAAATGCCTCATGGCATCTTGTGTTTTCACACTTTCACAGAAAATTAAGGGCAAAAAGCCCCCAAAAAATGGTTGGAAATGTACCGTGCCCACAAAAACACAGAGATAAAGAAGACTATGCTTATCTGGATTACAATTGAACTACTTTTCTATGTTTCACAGGCCAAACTCAGTCTTCTCCCAAGCCCCGTGCCAGGCCTGCAGCATCTCGAGTTTAGAGACAACACAGTTTTCCTCACTGCAAAGGAGGCGCAGGAGGCACATCCAACTGTCACGGGGAGAGCCGCACAGGAACCTCGGCACTGCTTCGTGGTAACGGGGGAATCGCCCAAGCTCGGGAGGGAGCAGGCTCGGGAACGGGGCAGGCTCGGGAACGGGGCAGGCTCGGGAACGGGGCAGGCTCGGGAACGGGGCAGGCCTGGGAACGGGGCAGGCCTGGGAACGGGGCAGGCCTGGGAACGGGGCAGGCCTGGGAACGGGGCAGGCTCGGGAACGGGGCAGGCTCTCCAGAAGGCGGCAATCAAGTGTCGGCCTGGGGAACGCCGCCCCGATGTCAGCAGCTCACGGCGGCACCGGGGCCGGGCTGCTCCTGGGGCTGTGCGGCGGAACCTCCCTTCCTTCCTTTCCTTCCCTCCCACAAAGCGTCGGGGCGAGCCCTTTCCGTCCGGTCCCGGGAGAGCGGCAGCGCCGGTCGGAGTGAGTCCGGCCGCGCACATTCACTCGCTGCAGGTATCCCGGCGCGCACGCTGCCGGTCCCTGTCCCCGCGCTCTTACTTGCGCCCTGAGGGCCTGGGCGATGAGCTGCGCCCCGCTGACCGCCTCGCCCTCCATGTCGGCCCCGCCGCCCACCTGCACCGGGCCGGGCCGAGCCGGGCCGGCACTGCGGGCGAAGGGCGTGCGCAGTGATTGACAGGCGGCTCGACCAATCAGACAGGGGAGGGGGGCGGGCCCGAGGACCCACCCCTCACTCTGCTGGCGGGCGGAGACCGGGACAGCTTCCTATTGGTCAGAGCGGGCAGCCAATCAGAGGCCGCGAGACGCCGGCCGTGCAGCGTGAGGCTCGCGGCGCGCGGGGGCGGGGGCGGGACCGGGACGGGTCTTCCCGGGTCCGGCCGGGAGCGGGAACCAGCGGGCAGGGCGGGGTCGCTGCAGGCCCAGCCGCGGCCCCGGTGGCCTCCGTGAGCCGCTGGGCCGCGCGGTACCCGGGTCAGCCATCCCCGGCCGCTCCGGCTGTGTGGGGCTGGTCAGAGGTGGCGAACACGGGGCGGGACAAAGTCCAGGGGTTGTGTGAGGTGTCGGTGCCGCCGCCGGCGCTCACCGGGAGAAGCGCCAGAGGAGTGCGAGATACCCTCCCAAAATCCCAGCTAAAGGATGGCGCACGCTCCTTTGTCCGGCTCGGCCCATCCCGGCATGTCGCTGAAGCGACACGGGTGACACCGTGTCCCTGCCCCACGGCCGGGCTTGTCCTGGCAAACCACTAACGATAGCAGCGCTCCGTTCGCCCTCGCTCGCCAAACAACAAAAAAACCCACAGGTAACAAAACACAGATGACATACAAAACAGAAAACCTTCATAAAACCTACATTATAAAATACTGTAATATAACGCAGCAAATAAAAGCAATAGACAGGAGGTATCGGTGGAAAACCCCTTGAATTTCACTATATTTTACGTATCTTTGAAATACATTGTATAATAGATAGTAGAATGGCAGCAATGTCACAATCCATGGTTATCATGCAACATAAAAAAGCCTTTATTTTTTCACAGCCAATTGACTCTTTACCAAGTAATCGTTACTGTTTATGTTACTATTTATGTTACTATACTATATGTTAGACATAGCTTAACATGCATTTGCTATTAACCACTCAGGAGGATCCAGACTAGTGCTGTGCTGCCTCTGTTATTTCAAGGTCTGTTGGATTATTCTGAGTGTAGAAGTACGAAGAACTTCTTCTTCATATGAAAACACGTGTTGCTTTTCCCTGTGTATACATCCGGGTGTGGTGACAGGTGACAGACTTCTAAGTTTCCAACGTTGTTCAAAAAATGAGTGGATGCTTTACTTCACAACACACTGAGATCAGATGGTTCTGAAAAGGTGAATAGGAAAACAGCCTGCAGTATGACTGGGGGAAATCCTGGCATGCAAACTTGGACACCAGTCTTCTTACTCTTTGTGTGGAACTATAACTGGAATATTTTGACTGCAAGACAGTAATACTGCTCTGAAATATTTATATTTGGACAACATGATCCTGCTGAAGCCTGCCAGGCAAAAGACCACATAAATCACAGGAAAGGGAAATAAAAAGAGATTAAGTTAGAAAGCATTTCAGGTAATGAAAATTTAAAGTCATGGCTCAGGTGAGGTGACAGCTCTATAGGTCCTAAGCAAATTAACTTCTCTTCAAGGAAAGGATTTATGAGATGGTGTGCCACTTTCCAGTAAAAACATCCAGAATGTGGCAGAGACATATTTGGAATCTCAACAGCCTAAGGGCTGAGTAAAGCCTGTTGGTATCCTTATTTTGGCTGGAAAGTTTAATACACCCAAGCCCAGCCTTGGGCCTTGTCACGACTCTGTGTTAGAAGCAATCCATGAGAGAGCAGAGTCCTGTTGTTTAAGCTGTCAGACAGGGGAAAGGCTTTAGGGAGCACTCACACAAGTGCTCAGCCATCATCTGTAGGACTAGCAGTAATCACAACCCAGGGTTATTTCAGTTATTTTAGTTGCCCCAGGTTCAGCCAGATGGGGTTGTGTAGTTGCATGTTCAGTGCTAAACCTCTTGTGCATCTAAATGAATAAAAGATTCAAATTAGTACTTTTGAGTGTTTCTGACCACCAGGAAATGAAACTTGGTAGAAAAATAAGACCTCTCCAAGCACGTTTGTAAAATACAACATTTTGTAGAGGCTCATTACCTGTTAATTTTTTTCTATTAGTGTTTGGCTTTTAAAAAAGGCAGTTTTTCTAATACGTAGCAATTCCACCTCGTGATCTGAAACTCTCCAACTTTTTTCATCACTAGTAATGATGAATTCTAATTACATCTTAGTTGACAACTTTATTAAGGAGCAGCTGACTAGAACCCATTCCTGCCCTAAAAAGGTATTTGAAGGGGTGACAAGAAATAGAAAATAGAGTCCTGTCAGGAAAGTGCAACACAGCTTGTTTATTTCCAGTATGTTCCTTAACTGTGAGAGGTTTCTCACTCCTGAACTCCCTCCTCCTGCTACTGGTTTATATCTTCACATGTGCTTTGGTATTTCAATTGTAGAGCTGAGCTGCACAGGACAAGGAGGCTTCTCCATTCTTGATATGCATTGCAAAATCACCCCCCAAATGTACCGAATGTTTTCCTCAACATGCAGAATAGCAAGGACAGCTAGTCATACATCACTTTTCAAAACTGTTTATATAAATACAGTATCTTTAATCCATCTGATTACAGAGAGGCCAAGGTTTTGTTCAGTTTTCATCACACTTGACATAAATTTACCCTTGAAGGCATGTATGTATGGACACATCAGCTAATCAAAGCTCAAGGAAATAGGAATATGTAGTTCAGCTTAGTAGCATTGAACAGCTAAGTTACTCCTGTACCCTTAGAAGTGTTACTATTACATGTTAAGATTTTTGGTTGAGCAAACAATTTTTCTGCCTACTATGGGCACCAAGATTATGTCCTACATAATGCTTTTTCCATTTACTCATTGTTAGGTACTAAGCACTTGGTATTTAGGGGAAAAAAAAAAAGCAGTATTGAGGATTGTTATTAGCTACTTTTCATCCTGGAATTCAAGCAAAGAGATATTTTCAGTTAACTTGCCATAGAATTTCTTTTTTTAGTTACAAGACCACATTTGATATAACACGAATAAAAATAAGACTGTGATTAGTTTAGAGTTGATCTTTTTTTCCTGCTGGGCTTTAAGAAGTCTCTCCATGCATGTGTCTGTCAGTCTTTATTTGCTTTGGAAAAATTCAGGGTGTTGTAGATTACAAAGACAGAAGGGCACTAAGAGTGTTTTGGAACTTTTTTTTTCTTGGATACAAGTTCCCAGAGAGCAAATACAATTCAAAAGTCAGTAACTGAACTTAGAGCTATCAATACATAGCACCAGTAGATCTCGCCTGCACATTCTTTCAACTTCACTAATATTCGAGATTTAATTCCTTAATGATACCAGTGACACTGTGGTGACAAATACAGAATTCTCATGTTATGAGAAAAAATCTGAATAAAAAGGCATTTCTATAGGCTTTCTGAAGTGTTGCACAACCATTGTCTGTGTCAGTCGTTGTTCTAAGTCCTTTGCTAAACTGGGAAGTCAAAAGGTTACATGGGGAGCCCATATTGCAGAGAATGCCCCAGCCTTCCAGATTCAATAATTCTTCAGCTTTTTCTAAGAAACGCTAACTAATGCAAATTTTCTCCATTTTGTATAGATTTTGGGGTTTTTTAATTACTATGAAACATTTTTAGCCTTACCTATCTGTGTTGCGGGAGGAATGTGGATCTGAATTGCACTCAACATTTTTATAAATGTTTAAAAAAGCTGCACTGTAGGAGAAATATTTGCCTATTTCATATGTGGAATTGAAATACAGTGAATTCATAATCCATTAGGACAGACATTCTTATGATAGATAGATGCAGAAGTGGTGTCTAGTGTAATTATCTTGGCAATTATCTGTTTCAGTATTGATAAAATATGTCCTATTTCTGCTTGACTGCTAAATACAGTCTCCAAGTAATTTTAGGAAATGCTACTTTTAAATACGTCTCCCGTTACCGAATGGAGGAGGAACTGCAAATTTGTGAGCTGCTTTAAACTTTTCTCAAAGATATTTTGATATATAGTGAAACAATCTATAAATGAGTGTTAATTATAAAGGGAAACTAAGCAAGGAGATCAGTAGAACTATATATGAAGCTTAAATGCTTTTGGGCGCTGTTGTTTAAAGCACCAGTGTAGATGGATTTGTTTAGAAACAGCGTGCATGTGCTCATTCAGGAACTTAAAAGCACCTTACTGCTGAGAGCCTCGGTTACCATCCACACTTAATTTAAATTTAAATTCCTGGCATGACATTTGGCTCCAGCTCCCTCACCCCACCTGTTTTTTTTTTTTTTTTCTCTAGATGATGGCATTGACCGTGGTGGCTCT